TTAGATAATAACATACTTACATTCAAGTATCTCATATTAATGGGCTGTGAGCTGAAAATCTTCCGTGACACCAAAGCCACCTGACAATCTCACCATTCTATAACTGGTTTATATTAATCTTATTTAAAAAATGTAAAATAAAACAACTTTATTTCCAATTTTTTATCAGGAATGTTTCATATTTTCACTTGACAACTATTTGATATTAACTAAATTTATTATTCCCAACATAACGTATCAATCTTAACTCGAATTCCTAAACACCCCCCCCCCAAAACAATCCTCCATATTTCCGGCCTTATTTGCATATTATTTCTCACCTTGATGCTGAGTGAATATGTGAAATCGGGCATTAAATGAAAAAAGTAAAAGAATAAATGCGTATGTATTTAAATCATAGACACTGATGACTATTGTCCGGCCATAATGAGCAGGCCTGCCATTCGGAGTTCGCTTTGGTTAGGAGGAGACGGGATTTGGGTAATGATCACGTTCCAAACTCTCACGGTAGTATAAATTTTTTTTTTTTAAAAAGAAAGTTAATTTATTAGTGGAGCAGAAAGAAGGCGATGAATGCATCCTGATCTAATATTTAAATGCAGACGCATGTTCATTACTGTATTATTTTTCCTCACAGCTCCACAAGTCGACAGCACAGGTTGAAGAAAGGCAATTTCCCATGGATTGTACCTTACTCCTTATAGGCTCCACTTGCACCCATCTCAATTTGTTGATTACTAGTTTGGACCCAACCAGCCTTTCTTTCAATTAAAAAGAACGAAGATAATCAATTGATCAGGTTTCAAGTTTCAATCCTGATTCTTGAATATTCAAATCCAATCCTCACCCTCAAATCTTTATTTTATTTTATTATACTATTTTTTGGTTCCTAATGTTAGAGCTAATTGATTAATTTGAATAAATTAATAAAACTAGTTAAATTAATTATTTGTAATAAATATGTATTGTCTTTTCTAAAATATTCTTGTTAATCAATATAACCTTAAAAAAAAAATATAAAAGACAAGATAAATTGGGATTTTATGAAGGAGTGGAGGTAGTATTTCTTTTACAGGGAGGCCAACATCACAATTAAAGTGACAAATCACTTGCAACCGAGAGACAACCCATTCTATGGCATCTTATTATATTATCTTAAAAGGTATTTGGATAGAACTCAAACCATAATTTTAAAAGTGCTTCTACGGTATACGAAGTAAATATGTAGAGGATTTTGTTTTGTTTTGTGAAAAATTTCTTTTTAAAAGCATTTTTTCTTAGTGCCAAACACCGCCTTAATCATATTCATCCACCATCTTTTGATCCAAATCTTTATTATAGATTATAAAGAGTGGGATGATGATAATACACAGTTCTTTGGCTTTTGACCTGATATTTATCTCCACGTCACAAGAGTCCATGCTCGCACCACACGGGGTTGGTCGCCGGGGGCTCCATTTTAAATACCTGGAGTTTAATGGGCGTGCAGAAAAGTCCGAATGAAATCTGATTTCATGTCCGTCTCTGTGGTCAAAGCGGCAAATACAATTCCAACGTCGGAGAAGTCTGACTAGCTCAGAGAGTGGTTCTCTCTTCTCACCTTTGGAAGGTGCAAGGCAGGGTAAGTGTGGGAGCATCTCGTTGGTATAAACACTCAAGTTTGTCATCCTAACCCACCAATTTCAAGTATCTCCGTGAATGGGCCAGGCTGCTTCCGCGGCCGCAATCACTTGCCGTCGCCAAACCAGTCACAGCCACTGCTCCGCGTCAAAATCCAGATCACCACCGTTCATTTCTCCGATGCTTTTCACTGAAAGCCACGAGTCCCCAAATGAGGTCATCCATGCAGTGCCTGATCACATCTCTGAGCTTCCCGACGAGTGTCTGGCTTGCATTTTCCAGTCATTAAGCTCCGCCGACCGTAACCGCTGCTCCCTCGTGTGCCGGCGTTGGCTTCGGGTCGAGGGACAGAGCCGTCACCGTCTCTCTCTTAACTCTCAATCAGATCTTCTCCCGGTTATCCCCTCTCTCTTCTCACGTTTTGATTCGGTCACGAAGCTCGCTTTGAAATGCGACCGTAGATCCGTTAGCATCGGGGACGAAGCGCTCGTTCTTATCTCTCAGCGATGCCCTAATCTGACTCGCTTGAAACTCCGTGCTTGCCGTGAACTTACGGATGCTGGCATGGAGATCTTTGCTAAGAATTGCAAGGGTTTGAAGAAACTTTCCTGTGGATCTTGCACCTTTGGAGCCCCAGGGATGAATGCGGTGCTCGATCATTGCGCCTCTATAGAAGATCTATCTGTCAAGCGTCTCCGGGGAACTACCGATATAGCATCGGTGGAGACTATTGGACCTGGAGTTGCAGCATCATCTCTCAAAAATATTTGTTTAAAAGAGCTATATAATGGACAATGTTTTGGGCCACTTATTCTTGGCTCGAAGAATTTAAGGACCCTGAAGATTTTCAGGTGCTCTGGCGATTGGGATAGACTTTTTCAACTCCTAGCGGCAGATCGAGTACCAAATATAGTCGAAGTCCATCTTGAGAGGCTCCAGACAAGCGATGTTGGCTTAGAGGCAATCTCGAATTGCTCGACTCTGGAAGTTTTGCATCTTGTCAAGACTCCAGAGTGCACAGATTTAGGGCTTATCGCAATTGCAGAACGATGTAAGCTCTTACGGAAACTTCATATTGACGGGTGGAAGACGAATCGTATAGGTGATGAAGGTCTAATAGCAGTCGCTAAATACTGCCCATGTCTTCAGGAATTGGTCCTTATTGGTGTTAATCCCACTAATGCGAGTTTGGAAATGTTGGCATCCAATTGCCAGAATCTGGAGCGGTTGGCGCTATGTGGAACTGAAACTGTTGGTGATCTTGAAATATCGTGCATTGCAGCCAAATGCACTGCATTGAAGAAACTCTGTATTAAGAGCTGTCCTGTGTCTGACCATGGTTTGGAGGCACTCGCATCTGGTTGCCCGAATTTGCTGAAAGTAAAGGTTAAGAAGTGCAAGGGCGTGACCTCTGAAGGTGTGAATTGGCTGAGGTTATGTAGGGGGTCGCTCGCTGTAAATTTAGATGCTGCTGAAGCAGAACATCAGGGCGCTGGTGCTAGTGATGGTGGCGCTCAGGAAAATGGCCTAGAAACCCCACCAATCCCCAGCGAGGCCGCAGCCTCTGCTACCATTGCATCAAGCAGTACTGGTCGATCAAGTTCATTCAAGTCAAGGCTTGGACTTTTTTCTGGGAAAAGCTATGTCGTCTGCACTTTGAGAAGATTGTCTGGTGGTAGTCGTAGTTCCCGGCATAGTTAGACTGAGGGAATTTTAGTCACCAAAGTGATGGGCAATTCAAGCCATTGACCATTCATATTATTTGGTGATGCTATCACTTGATTCTTTCTCGCTCTTGTATTTATAGCTAAAGTTTCTTGTGTGTTGCGTTTTTGCTTTTGGAGATGAATCTTCTTTAGTTAAATTGGCAAAGTCAATTTATTTCTGTTGTTTTTCTCCCAAATTATTATTGCCGTTGGGTTAGTTAGCTGTTGATCTTACCTCTTCTCAGACTTGTCCGTATCATCATCCAATTGATTCCTAGTGCACATAGTTTTGTAAACTGCAGGCTGTCAGGGTTTCAGGGATTATGAATTTATTTGTTCTGTGATGACGTGTCTATGAAACTTCCAATGGTTTTGTTAGATCTTTGTCTTTGATAGATAACTGGAGGAAAGCACGACGCAAGCTTCTACTTTAGGCTTTGGCTTAGCAAAGGAAACAACTGAATTTCTCGTTTGATTCTAGCATGCATTCCTTAAGCTTCTCCTCTGATGTATAGGCGTACAGTCCCATTGCCGCAAAGTAGATTCGATGCGTTTGTGATCGGATATCTGGGGTTAAGGTGATCATGTTATCAAATAAGGCGAGTTCTCAGATTTACTGTATTGCTTATCACTTATCAGACCTGCTTTATGGCGGTTGCGGGTTTGCTTTTCTTGTACGAAGTGTGTCTCTGTCCTGTGATGCTGCCTAATTCAACATACATGCGGAAATAACACTTCGATTCTATTTCGTTTTAGTTGGTTGGATGCATGTGTGTTGATGGCTTGATTCTATTTTTTTAAATAGTTATCTTTCGTTTTTTTTGGCCATTATCATTTAAAACTAGATAACTATCATGTTATTCCTGTGTTATTTTAGCAGTTCCCATAGGAGCTTTTCAAGTCACGGTATGACATTATGTAATGGCTCATTACTGGTTTGCCCCTAAGAAGTAGTTCTTGTTCGCACTTGGAGGTCGTTAGAGTTGAGCCCTTTGTGCGTATGCGTGACAGGACATTGAGTTTTCATATGAGTTGAGTGTTTGATCATCTTCAGCAGAGATTAGGCTAGCACACGACATTATCTGGGAAAAGGGAATTACGACATTATCATATATAGCATCGCTAGGATATATTGAATGTGGCTCGTTTGTATTCTCTCTCTCTCTCCCCCCCTCCCTCTCTCGCCTTGATCCGTAGTTTGTATGATTCATGATAATTAACTATTGCGTCCATCCGTATCAGCCTTGACATTCATTCATCTAACTCAAATTGCTTCATTTAGTAAATCTCGTTGATCATCTCAGCTGAACAATGCTAAATTATCTCATAATTAGATAGAAATGAAGGAAAAAGAATTAGCAATGCAACGAAAAGGGAGTCAAAAAGTAATAATAAAAGAAATCATCAAAAGCGAGAATTGCGTCCCAAGCCGCGGGAGCATTATTGTTTTTCTGGCCGAAAATTATCTATTATCTCCAATCAAGTGAAATCTGAATCGTTTAATGTCAAGAAGGTAAGGACTAAAGCCATGGTTAAGAAGGTGAGGGAAGCGAAAAGCGAGCTATAGCATGTCACAAGTGCCTGATCCACAACGTATAGAGAACGAATATTCAATGGTTAAGACATTACTTTAGGGCAAGCGAAAAAGATAGTATGTACGTAGATAGCTGCGAATGCATCATGTGAATATGAAATTCATTCCACCATTGTGGCATTGTCAAATGATAAACGTAATCAGCCTACAGAAGCTGGAAACCTTACAATAATCGTGTTCTTGCCTTCAAGGCTCGAATACAATAACACGTAAATACAACCATATGTACAGAGCAAATGCTTGACTATAAAGTTTGCAGACCATTTATCTGATAAAGTTTCAAATGCAGCTATCAGTATATTTATGGGCATGCATCATAATGAAAAGATTATCAAACATGCTATCAGTCTACTTTGTCCGCCCTGGCTTCGTCATACACCATTCACTTAAGCACTGCTTACTTTGTTCTTAGCCCCAAAAGCCCAGTGGGGTTTAGCTGGAGTGCGCTTCATAGCCTTCACTCCAAATGGACTGTTCTTGTTCTGTAGTGGACAAAAATAATTCAGTTAAGACGTTAGTGAGAAATCTTGACTTCCTAGCGAATATCTACATCCCTATTAGAGATGAATCGAGATTGTAAGATTACCATGAGACAAGTGCCTTCTTCAAGGTTGCAAATAGGATAGTCGTGAGGGCAGCAACTGGAGTGGTCTTCACAGCAGGTCGCAGCTTCAAGAGGACAACATCCCCAGGCAAAGCAATACTTTCCATATTCGTATACGCAGCAGCAAGTAGTGCTCTCAGCACAGCTGTAATAACTATCGCAAACAGTTGGTGGCTTTACAGGTGAAGGGGGTGATGGTCCAGGGTTTGGGGGATTTGGGCCTTTTTTAATTGGGTACGACGACTCCATCGCAATTCCACATTTTCCAGTGTTGCTTGTAGCCAGATTACGTTCCAATCTCACATACCCGTTCTCTCCCCAGCTCTTGCCCCATGAGTTTCTCACGATCCAATAGTCAACTCCATTTTCTGTACCATATCCCACAGCTGTGACACCGTGATCTAATGCTGTTCCACAATCTCCCGTGAAGACGCCCTGACAAGTTTGAGGTAAATGGAACATATATTAAGAAAGCTCAGGCAATCATTCGACAGCAATTAATCCATTAAAAAAAAAAACTTCAAATCGTACAACTGCTGATAGATAACTGATGACTTTGTGCCTTGGAAAATGCATAAATAGAAATAATAGCTGGGGTCTGGGGAGCAGACGCCAATATCTATTGCATGCACTTAACTACTCAAGTTATTAACGTTTAACGCATTGCGGGTGTTTCACCTATCTGTTCCTGTCTACTCATTGTATGCTCAATAGGTGGATAAGAAAATGAGTGAGAGACTTACGGATACATATAACTGGAATTCCCTGCCACCACCTTCAATGGCAACGCTCACAGGCTGATTTGCAACGGCCTTTTGCAATGCCCTCTCGTCATTGACAGGAACGTCCTCGTAGTCATCAATTGTGACGACTTTAGCATTTTTCTGTAGACAAGACAGATGAAAATTTGTTATTAGAGCATAAACTATTTCCCGCAAGCTTAATTCAAGTAAAGCCAAGACTCACCCTGTATGTGTCACATCTACCATTAACAGCACGATAGGGGTAATCTTCTTCGGTGTCAATACCGCCGTTGTTGATGATGAACTCAAAACCGTAGTCCATGAGTCCACCGTTGCATCCTTCGTTATATGATGTATCGCAGTCGACCAGCTCTTGCTCTGATAGTGAAATTAAATCTCCAGTCACTATCTTGTTAATTCCTTCCACGGCAGCGACAGTTGAAAAGGCCCAGCAGCTCCCTTCATGAAACAAATGAATCGGATGAGTTAATGAAAACGAACATATCTGTAGAGTTGGCTATTCTAATGAGATTCATAAGCTATTCAATTGCCAGGAAATCTTTTAATAATGTTTCCTCCTTTTTACAGAGGGTAAAAACAAAAAACAAAAAGACAATTGCTTTATTATTTTTGCAGCAATAGAAAACGTTTTCTGATTCTCAGAAGGGATCATTACTGTAGATAATCCTACGAAAAGTAGTACTTTTTGTTTTTTTGTTTTTCTGGGGGGGGGGGGGAGCCTGAGTTGTGTAGCAGCTTAAAATTTACAAGGCTGAGAGGACTCTGCTCGTGCCGAAAATGATAAGGTACGAACTAGGAACTCAAGTTGAGGACAGCAGGGGAGGGATTTAGTAGTCTCTACACTCTGTTACGGGCGAAAATTATCCTATGCACCATATTTCTAAAACCAAAGTATTGAAACTGTTCTGTGGTGCCAAAAAAAAAAAGTATTGAAACAGTTCTTATCATTTCATGCCGTGGAGTGAGAGTGCTTTTCTATTTTTTTCTCCCCCCCCCCCTCCATCACACGTTTCTAGCAGTGTTATTAACTTTTATCCTTTTCTTAAAAAAAATCGTTCTGGTTGTAAAAATATATTCGCCAAAAATACACACGAACAAGAAAATACTCGGACAATTTAGACCCATCGATTACAAAGCCATAGCAACAGACAATATGTTGGCAAAAAGATCACACAGCCACACAAGGTGACACAAAATAAGCCCATCAATCACAAAACTGTAGCTTGCTCATAAAACAGTAGAATGGAGTTAGGAGAGCTGATGCTCAATCTGATGCAGCAACACTGATATCAAATATCAAATAATTATGCTAAAAATTGTTCAAAAGGTGAAAACTTAAATTTCTAAATTACATACTAACTCGCCTTGAATATAAAAATTAGTTTGATTTTTAATTTAACTTTAAATATAAAGCCTCAAGTTAATTTACTCCTTATATTTATTTGTTTTTTTAAATAGTCCTTATAAAAATACAGATATTAAATATTTCATTAAATGACATTTAATTAGTAAAAATATTTGAATAAAAATAATATCTATTTATAACTATCTTATTAATTATCTTAATATATCAATTATTTTTTATATTAAGCAATACTCTAATAAAATCGTCACTCACGAGGCTGATATTTCAAAGCATACCAGCTCAAAATTGAAGGGACAAAATTTTATTAAAATTAAAAAATTAAAAAGAAAAAAAGAAAAAAGAAGTGGGTAAGGCAGGGTACTGACCGCAGCTTCCTTGGTCCTTGACCTCGACTACGGCGCCTTCCTTCCTCCAATCAACGAAACCCGGTAATTTGTCACCGACACATGGAGCGTAACGGTTGCTCCTGGTCTTGGCAATCCTCCTCTTGTGATCAATCCTGGCTCCAAGATACTTGGCCCGGTACTCGTCGTTGGTCAGATCGGCGAACCGATTCAAACCCAGTTTGTAGGTCCGGCTCTCGGCGTTGCGCTCATCGATGAACCTGAGGTTGTCCTTGAAGATCTGAAACCTCTTCTCCTTCTCCCCCAGGCCGTTGTAGAGCTTGCCATGTTCCAACAGCCAGTGCTCGTACATGTCCCTGACCTCCTCATCTGTCCTCCAGTTTGAGCCGTCGGCACGAGTCCTATCGTAAGAGGTGATCGACATGTCCAAGGCGGACGACAAGGCGAAGATGGCGAACAAGAAGAGCATCACGGCAGGAGAAGACGTCGACGAAGCCATCAGGGATGAGTTCGGGAGAGAAACTGCAGACCAAGGCGAAGAGGGGCTTGGAAACTAAAAGGGAGTATGTGGGGCGTTTTAAAGGCAAAAGTGGGGGCGCTGGGAATTGGATTCTACATTTAACTTCTAATCTAAAATATGACATTAAAATATTTATACAAGGGCAAAGTAGGCAGGGAAAAAATATCGTCAGAAATGGACAAAGGGGATAAGATTTTGGGGAGTTGATCTTTCCTAGTTTCTTTTACGGTTTTAATTGGCTAGTTATTCTTTTATATTAAAGGGTAAATACTAGTAAATACTGTCTTCATTGCTTAATATAAAATACTATTTAATTTTTATTTGAATTTTAAATATAAAACTCTAAGATATTTTATTTTTTTATATTTATGTATTTTTTTAAGATAGTTTTTCTAATAATAACAATACACTTGATTAGCAAGAATATTTTAAAAAAGATAATATATATCAGGTTAAAAAAAAAAGATAATATATATTTATTATAAATAGTTAATTTAATTTGTTTTTTTAATTTTTTAAAATTAGTTAACTAATTTTTATAACTAGTATCTATAAATCATCTGGGTTGGCAGTTGGTTGCCCTCTGGTCACGGGTTTCACGCGAAGAACAAATTAAAGCAGGGCGACTATTAACTGGGCCGAGCCATTGCCGCCTACTGGACTCTGGTGCCACTTTGTTGGTGCCAATTCAACAAGCAGAGTGAAGGAGAATGGCGGCCATCTCCGATCTTTTCAATTCCAGCTTCCCATCCTACCAACAAGAATTAAATCTAACAGGAGAGGGTTAATTCATCATAACAGAGCGAATCAAAATTTAAATGCCTATAGAAAGAGTTGTCCATATTTAGTTATTGGCAATAACTCAAATAAGGTTATCTTTAATAAAATGATTAAAAAAATCCCAAAACAAGAGAGGGATGAATTCTGTTTTTTCCTTCACAAATTGACATGCTAGTGGCTTCCTCACTACACCTATTTGTTACAATATTAACCGGTGAAGTTTCTCTGTTACAAACAAGTTTTCAGCATAATTTCACTCCAAAAGCCTCCTTTTAAAATGTTTAGTTCCTAATCCTCCTTCCCTATCCTGAGCTATCTGGTCACAAGAAAGAAGATGCAATTTCATCTCAAGATCATTCAGATTATCCCGTTTTAACAGTACCCTTGAAATCCCATTGTGTGAAAGATTTTGGCGAGTATGTGCAGATATTTCTAGTGGAAATGGTGCCTTTTAGTGTTGAGAAAGTAGCGAATAAGGATGTGCCACGTTTTCCGTCTCCCGTGGTGCCTTAAATGGGCAGGACTCTTGGTTTTGCACTTTTTTCTGTGGTAGTATTGGTCATGACTCATGACGCATCCGGGAGGGAGAGGGTCTCTTGCAATTTCTTTCTGTTATTTGGGGCCATTCGGACTTTTGGGCCTCATGTCAATTATTTTCCCAGTCGCTTTCGCCTGAGGCGTCGCTATGATGCCTTCTCACGTCATCTCCTCCGTTCCAACCTCCAATTATTCCTCCAAAAACGAAAGCTAACGTAAAAATTAATAAAATGAATTTAAAGATTAAAACGAAATTTATGTCCAATCCTTTTAAGAGAAATAAAAAAAATCTTAAGATGTTAAGTGCCAATAATAATTAAGAGTTTTGTTAATTATGGTGCTTGTGACGATGATTGAGCGTGGCTAGGCCTTTGGGGAGAGTGAGAGATGCCTGGAAGATGAAGAACAAGAATCTACGCAGATAAAGGGGACTAGAGAGTTGTGAAGTTATTTTGATTCTTGTACTCGTATCTCATAAACTCTGACCAACGTGCTGTGGTTTCCCAGTAGACAACGGAATCCTCTCCAGGATGCGCTGCTCGAATCATGACCTCATGTTTGGTATCCTCATCATCATTTCCCCTGCTCTCTCTCTCTCTGAAGTTGTTCCTCCCCACACTTTTATTTAAATTTGTGCGTTTAATAAGCCCTCAAGATGATGATATATTCACCCACTCACATATTGTCATCGACTACATACTAGTATAATTTAAAATTTCGATCAGCGACACGCCGTTTGAAAATAGTAAACCCACCAGAAGAGAAAAGGACTAGCATTTTTGGTAGTAGATTCAACAGCTGCATGGAAAGTATTAGAATTCGGGTTCGAAAAAGGAACATGAGTGGAATTATTTAGGGTTAAAAAATGATGAGCAAGACGACAGGGAGAAAGGAGCCCGTGTGTAATAGGACTGAGCAATGAGCAGGGTGGGTTAGCCAGAAGGTTAGCCCATAACCCACCCATTTATGAATAAATAGGTATGGGCTAACCCATAACCCGATAGCAGCCCATTTAGCCAGTATTAAATGGGTTACGAGGCAGCCCGTTTAGGCTGACCGGGTTACGGGATAACCCATTTATTTTTTTTATTTTTTTGTAATTTTTTTAGCATAGTTACTTTGTATATGTAACGTTATGAAGCTGTTAATAAATTTTATATACCAACTAGCAAATCAAATATAAAATAATATCACATAATATCAACCATATTCAATCACACAATATCACTTAGAGTCACAAACAATCAAAGTTTGATAAAATCATAAAAGTAGTCACTAATCATAAAAAGTCTCATAAACTTTAAAAGTTCCAACTTCTACTTAAAGGATAAAATAAAAGTTTAGACAAACATAAAAGTTTGATAAAAGATGAATAAAAAACAATATCATCAATTAAATGAAGAATAAAAATATTTATAAAAAAATTAAAACTTAAACAGACGGGTATGGGCAGCTCAATATCTTGCCCATAGCCCAACCCGTTTAATGGGCTGCCTTATCCATTTAAGCCCGTCTATTTATAATATCTTATTTGAACTAATTGGACTGACTTAAATGGATAAAAATTTCATAGGGCACGGGCGGACTAACGGATAATGGGTTTGTTACTCGTAACTGTAGATGCGGGTGTTTGATTGCCCCGCGATGCCCGAGACTGAAACAAAAATCTGGAGAGTTAGGTGAAAGAGACGGAAGGAATCTCAAGTTTGACAGATCATCGGTATGAATAATATCTGGTAATTCAATTTCATCTTGCTTTCCCCTCCGCCTATAACTTTTCAACAAATCCAACTGTAAGTGGACTTCAAGCTTGCAATTCCCCACTTGCCACTTGGGCGCTGCCAAAAAATAAAAAATTACATGCCAGTAATCTTCACTGTGCAGTAATTATATGGTGGAGGACAAGTTGGGGGAATAATAATTAATAGAAAAGCCCTCAATCCCTATCAAGGGATCCATCAACGCGCAACAAGGCAGGCACTCCATGTGCATACGTGGACGTATATATATGTTTAAAAAAATCGAAAGAGAGAGAAATGCGATTGAATGGATGAATATCGAGAATGGATAAGGAGTTGGAGATTCAGCCAACGGAGAATTGGCTATGAATCTCGGCCCTCCCGTGATCACGTGCCTTTCAGTTTCTTCTGTCCCTTTTTAATCTATCCGTCTGGATTCTCCCAGATCGTATGAATCTGTCTCCATTCATCTTCTTCCATCTCCTTCCCATTTCTTCTCTCTTCTATGTGTCTGTCCATTTTAACCCTGTTCCGTTCCTGTTCCTTTTTTTTTTTTTAAACCAGCTATTCCTGTTCTTTTTAATACTTACCGCATTTATATAAATGATAAATAGTAGTGCAAATATAAATATATACATGTTGTTTCAACGATGGACTAATTGCACCGTGATGGCCAAAGGGAAAAGGCATGGCCTCGTCAGCTCATTGCCACTCATAACGAGCCTTGTGTGATGTATATAGCGTTAAATTGGGGTATCATATCGTATCAAAGTATTCAATGTAAAGTTTCAAACCTAACATCCCGATTAATTAAAAAGAAATACTCTGGGCAAAAAAAAAAAAAACTCCGAAAATGACTCACATGGGCCTGCAGCGCTGGTCCATCCTGCTGACAACCAATATTAATTAATATATTGTTCGTTTTCGCACAGGGGGCAGTATTGTACATCCGGCCCAGAATTCAGGCTTGATCGCTATATACTGTTCTGTACTTCTGTTCTTCTTCTAGTGATAGGAAACTAGCATTAATAAAACAAAAAAAGATTAGTCATATACTTCATTCTTCACGTTTAATATGAAAATTATTATCATTCCTTAATATTCTTTAATATGTACTATCTTTGATCCTAATTATAAAATTTCATTTATAATTTATAAATAAGGTCTTATAATTATGACTGAATGTAATATTATGCAGGTTGTTAAATAATAATGTACATGTCAAAATTCTTACTAATATTAACATCTTCATGTGAAACAATTTTTTAATCAGTTGCTACATATAAATATTTTTTGCAAAAGACATTATGTGGTGTGGATATATACTTGTTGGAAATAGAGAGAGAGATGGAGGGAAAAAAGGCACGATGGAGTCTTTCGATCTTGAATTTTATAGTAATGGACTAATGGATGAGAAGGTGATTTGTGCTTCTTCTCTCGTTAAATCAAATCATCTAACACAGTAACTTTTGTTCTTTTAAATACTATCGTTGTCTTTTATTTAATTTAAGCGAGTTACAAATATAAATGCAATTAAACCCCCCCCCCCCAAAAAAAAAACCTTCATGGAGTGATCCAACCAACTGTCCCTAATTTTTGTTGACCAGAAATCGATTGTCCCTCTTAATTACTCTCTCTGACCTGAAAAGGGGTGGGATAATTAATGAGGACATTTTGTCCAAAACGGACCGAGATTTTTTTTATATTTTTTTTAAGATTATTACTCCCTCCGATCCAAAATATAAAATAAAGTCAACTGATTTCTATTTATCACAAAATCAATTAAAATCAGTTTAAAATAATAAATATGCAAGGTATATAATTTTTTTCCAGATATATTTTTATTAACGAGAGAATAAATAAAAGGAGTAATTAAAAAAAGAGAGAGAGAGAGAAGGGAGGCAAGTAAAACGCATATATTATGGTTAAAATTGAAAAAACAAAAAACATGAAATACTTAAACAAAACCAGAACGTTATCATATAAAAAAACCACACCACTTCAACAAAATTTAACCACAAATAACAACACACTTTTTGTAAGAATTTTTTAAAATTTACTAATTTTAAGTTTTTTTTTTTTTTTCACGAGAGGTTCTCCCTATAACTCGCTGTTATCAGCTCAGAGTTGAGGAATGTGATCCCCAGCATTCCTGCTGCGGCTCTATGGCAGATTTATGTACAAATGATTAGGATTTTAAATTTTTTCTGGTAAACTTTGTATTGTTAGCAGTATTATTTTTAAGTTTGATAGAACAATATTATGCATAATCAAATAAAAAGGTTAAAAATGAGAATTTTTTATATTTGTAACGAGAATTGTTTGAGGGAAGTCCAAAAACCGTCGCTATCGTATGCTTGTCTTTGGAAAAAAAAAAATTAAATGACGACAGATAATCGATTCGAGGTTAACAAAAACAAGAAACCGGAAGCAGCAATATTTGACTGCTTCCCGGATTGAGTCCCACACGTCTCATTCCTGTATAAAGATTCAAAAGCGAATGGAAAAAATTGATACACGTTACGTGGATCATCAATTATCATGGAGGTTTTTTTTTTTTTAAATCAATTTTTTTCTTTTTTTTTAATCAGTTTCTTAACTTTCCATCCATTGCTTTTACTTTTTCTTCTTTCTTTCTTTTCTGAAATGTCCCTACTTTCAGTATTCAGAATGCAGGGATTGAAAGGAAATCAACACAAATTGAGCCATATATGCTTAACACTAGCAGCATTATTTCCCCCCTTTTGCAATGGAGGTCGCATCTTGATTCAGAATTGGGTTCATGAATTCTCACGTTAACCTATACTACTTTCGATGCCTAATACAAGAAATAATTTGATATTTAATTTGGTTATAAATATAAGATTATAATTCACTTTGTTTTTTATATTTATCTTTTTTTTTTAAGGTAGTTATAGTAGTTGCACATATCAAATATTTCATCAAATAGTAGTTGTAAATAATATACATAATTTGTAAAGATATTTTATGAAAGATAACACTTAGTCACAACAAATAATTGATATAATTAATTTTCTTAATATATTCAAATTAGCCAGTTGACTCTTATATTAAAGATCAAATGTAGTATTTTTTTTAGCCAGCTCTATTTAATGTATGTTTTTTTAGCTAGACTATTTAGGCCTGGTTTGAAATCTCATTTAAAGTCAACTATAAACATGTTTTATGTAGATCAAGATAAAACTCTTTTTATATACTTGTTTTGTATTCTACAAATTATAACTGAAAAGTTACTTATAACCCATTTTAAACTGGCCCTTAATTTATACGACCTTCACACTTTACACATGCTTAATCCCGTGACATAAATCAAAAAATTTGACAAGGATTCAACTATTCCATTTTGCATCACACAAGTTGACTTTGTACCCTGACGTTAATGATTCAGTCTCAGAATCTCAAATTCCTTAGTAGGGGAAAAAAGTGAAGCTGTTATGATTTTTTTTCTCTAAAGTATAGGTATCCTCCTATTAGAGGCAATCCTATTCGAGACACTGTTCGGCACTAAATGTGAGCACCTCTCCTAGCGGAGATTCAAACCTTGGTTCACCACGTTATAGGAGACTAGTCCCTTCCGCTAGACCGAACTCCTATTGGTCAAGCTGTTATGATTTTAAATATAAGATTCGCTTTGCAGTAATTTATACTGCAAAGTGAATCTTATGTTAAGAAGCAGTTAACAGAGTATCATAATTAACAAAACACATACATATGCGGAGCATGTATACAGGTAGAATCACAAGCTTACGCTCGGTGATGACAAGCGTATTTTTTCACAAAAGGCTGAAAGGCCCAGTGACTAATTCATGGGCCATGTCAAAAATGTTCCCATGAGGTTTACAAAATGAAGGATACATCTCTTTCAGACAATATGTTCTTTTTGTTTGCGGCGCAAAAAGACAGGATAACTTGCAAGCCCCAGATCTTAGCTCATGTATGTGAAGGCAACAGGAATAATATTGGCCCAAAAACAAGCTGAACTCTGCCAGTGTCCGGTTGCACATTTTTTAAAACCACGGTTTTGATGGTTTTCACGTAAACCCAATGTCTTTTTATAATTATTAATTTTTTTTGGCACATTAAAAATTTAAAATATAAAATGCCATCCACATTAGACGTCCTCACGCCACCTTTAGGATCCCCTTTTATACAAAACATTCAGAACGTGAGATTATTTAAAAAAATTTAGTGTGAGTAATATTAAAAAGTGCATACTCGCTAGTTACCACAAAAAAAACAACTATGGAAAAGAATTGCATGCTTGTTTATGGCACATAAGATTATGGATACAATATTTATTATTCTTCTGGTCTTTAATATAAGACCTATTTAACTAATTTGATTAGATTAAATAAGTTAGGTAAATTAGTTAATTATAAGAAATGTGATACATTTTTCCTAAAATACCATAATCATCTTTCTTAATACCCTATCTTCATTTTCTACTTGATTATGGTTGAGGGAGTATCCATAGGGATAATTTAGAAAAATTGATAAATATAAGAAATGAGTCTTATATTTAAAACTAAAATCAACTCAACAATTGGGTCATATATTAAGAATAGGATGAGTAATATTTTTACAACAATTACAATTATTTATCTTTACTGCTAAAGTGCTAGTGCTAATTTCCGATGCGAAAATGACATTCATTTTAGATGTTCCCCCGCCCCCCCCCCGGATGTACTTGATTTGATCGGGCATCAAACCACATGTTAAGACGATATCATTTGGAGAATTTATGTAAATATTGAAGTGCATTTTCCATCTCTTCATAGACAACGATTTTTAATTTAATATGTATCGCGCAAGATCTGTTTCTGCTTGACATGTATAGCTGAGTTGGAAAAAAATAATAATAAAAGGATAAAGAATAAAAAATAAATTGCAGTTATATGTTATATATATAAATATATATACTCCTCCAGTCTTTAATATAAAACCCATTTAACTAATTTGATTAGATTAAATAAGTTAGATAAGTTAGTTAATTATAAAAAATACGACACGTTTTTCTTAAAACATCATAATCATTCTTCTTAATACCTTATCTTCCTCTTCTACTTAACTATGGTTGAGGGAGTATCTATAGGGATAATTTAGAAAAGATTGATAAATATGGTAAATGAGTCTTATATTTAGAACAAAAATCAATTCAATAATTAAGTCTTATATTAAGGATACAAGGAGTATATATGGCGCGCGCATCATATATTTGGTTTCTCACCACGGTGAAGCGGAAACGGCCGTGACTCCTTAAAATGGTGGATGCTTCCACCATTTAAGGGATTGGAATCAGGCCGAAAAAGGGGGGAAAAAAAGATTGGGATTGGAAACAGAGAAATATCAAAAGTCAACAATTTAAAATCACAGTTAAGCCATAATTATCGATCGTTCTTGAATCCAGTCAAACATCGTAAGCCATGATTTCAAATTAATTCCGGATTTCTTGATTTGGTATTTATTCGTCAACGAGGCATATATTTTGAAATGTCTGAAAAAAGAGGCATATATTTTGAAAGTCCACCCTTCGTCCTTCACAATGTCATGCTACAAGGGAGAGAAATATTCTAAAACCAAGGAGTGGGTGATAGGCTGATAGCAAGACAGAGCGCTTGCTGCGCTGGCTTGCCAGTTGCCGCCAGGAGCTAAAATTCAGAAGACAGACAAACATATGGCAAATTTAGAATCTTAAAAATATAAATAAGTCAATAATTTTTATAGTGAAAAATGAAGCCACAAGTTTGACGTGGAAAACCCATGAAAAGAGAATCGGATCGAATATAACTGACAAAGTAAGAAGAAGAACATAAAATAAAATCGAATCAACGAAAAATTGTAACTTCCCCTGAACTTAATGGTTGACCACGTGTTGACCAGTTGATTTGACGACGGAGCTTGCGTATAAAATCTGCGTTCAGTTCGCACTTAAATCCGCGTTTGCATACCATTGTGGAGTGTCTTAGTGGGCAGCACTCTCGGAGATGCAATATTTCACACTGCACAGCTGGTATTGTTTATTGTTGTCCTTCTGTTGTATGCTCGGTTTTGTTCTGTGTTTATATTTGGTCCAATATGCCATGGCTTCTCCCTCACCCCACCACTCAAACTCATCGATTCCAACATACTGTTCATGGTCTGTGCGGACTACAGATAAAGCTGCCAATCCCATGTCATCCATATGGTACTCTATTTTACTATTTCAGAGGGCATGCCTTCATGTGCGTGTTTCTGCCTTCGAATACTCCGATTTTTTTTTCTTGGTTTATTGACATTTCATCCTTCAACTTTCTTTAACATATATTATTGGCCCCTGAGTTAGTTTATTGCTTTTTTTAATAATTTATTTGACTGTAAATAGTATTAAAGAAGGTGATACTAGTATGATTTTTAAAAATTAAATTACTGTTACTGGTATTAATATTAGTGAACGAATATCAAGTTTGAACAAAGAAGTGGAAAATTGGGCTTTGAATATGAACCCGGGAGTCTCATGAAAGAGAAAAGGAATCCAGGTTTGATTTTGATTTTGAATAATGAGGAATGGGTTTAAGCAAGCTTCCGGTGTCCGGTTAAAGAGCTATCCCGTGGGCCCCACCCACCGAGCGTCCTCAGGCCCCTACCTCCTCATCCCGCATTAAAAGAAGTTAAAGGTCAACTCTGCCTCACTGTCCCCAACTGACATTTCCCTCCCTCTCCTCTCTCTCTCTCTCTCTCCAACGGCTCCTTCCTTGCTTTTGACCCTATCCTCCCTTCCCTCGTCGGTTCCATTTGTCCGTCGTCAACAGTTTTTACCCCTCCTCAGGGACCCACGTTTATTAGACGGTCAATTCCTGTCCGTTTCTGCCACGCGTACCCATTTCATTCGTCATGGCTTTGACCGGCCCCTTCCTTCTCCGCTACTTTTCATTGACAACGCAACCCCTTGACTAAAAACCGCCTTCCTCCTCTAACTTTCTCATTGCTCTTCCTCTTTTTTTTTGTTCTTTTTCCCTCTCTTTGCCTTTCTCCTTTTTCTTTGCCCTTCAATCATTTCTCTTGCTTCGTAAGTAATAAAAGATTCAACCCCATGATTATTCTCCGATGACTTTCTCCTCCTCTATAACCATCTAGCCATTGAAAGAAGTAAAAGGGTCAGTTCAAGTGCACAGAAAAGAAAAGAAAAAAGGAACAAAAGAAAATTAGGATTGCGGGTTCGGTTTCGCTTCTACCATTCATGCTCCTGGATTAATGGCTGTGGAGCTTATATCTGGTTATGGGGATGATAGTTTTGCAGGCAGGACGGAAGTAGACAACACAGTCGCGGTGCAGGAAGCTACGGCTGCGGGCATTCACAGCGCCGAGAAGCTCATGACAATCATTTCTCAGCAGCGCCAGCACCTAGAGGAGGAGGCCTCTAGCTCCCGAGGAGGGCCTTCGGAACTGGAAGTTCTAGCAGATGCGGCGATGAACAAGTTCAAAAGGGTCATTTCTCTGTTGGATAGGCCAAGAATTGGCCACGCTCGTTTCAGAAAAGCTCCTACGACGCAGGTTTCGATTCCTTTTCGCCGGCCGCAGCAGACGCCGGATTCCGAAAACGCAGTGCCTCCTGTTACAGAACTCCAACAGAACAAAACAGAACAACCCTCTGCTTTTAAGGTCTATTGCCCTACGCCGGTTTTGCGTCTCCCACCTCTGCCTCACCAGGCGCACCAACCTTCCCCCTTTCATCGGGCGGAGAAGAAGGATGCGAATGGCAGTGCCCAATTTTCGGCGTCGCCCCCCATTTCCGCTGCCAATTCGTATGTGTCTGCGTTAACAGGGGATACGGATAGTATGCAACGCTCTTGTCATTCTTCGGGGTTCCAAATCATTCAGTGTCAGAGATCACATCAAGGATCCTACATGGGCAAGCCGCCTTTGTGTTCGACTTCTTTAAAGAGGAAGTGCAACTCAATGGACGATGCCGGTCTCAAGTGCGGATCATCCTCTGGCCGCTGCCATTGCTCCAAGAAAAGGTATAGGCGGAGAGCCACCCTACTTTAATAATACGTACACACCATAAACACACACACACTGGTTCTGAAGATGAAACTAGTATGGCTATCACATTGCATTTGTTCTGAGTTGTCGTAGTAATACGGTTTATCGTCTGAGGCATATACATGAGGCAAATTCAATGGATGCAGGAAATCAAAGATAAGGAGAGTAATCAGAGTACCGGCAATCAGCTCGAAGATGGCTGATATTCCGGCCGATGAATATTCGTGGAGAAAATATGGACAAAAGCCCATCAAGGGTTCTCCTCACCCCAGGTATATCTATTCATATTTATACTGTTTTCCACGTTACTATCACAGTGTTGGGTTCACAAGTTCAGTGGCACATAGGGTTTTCTGAAATGCGTTGGGTTTTTGAATTTGGAAGGGGTTATTACAAGTGTAGCAGCGTGAGGGGCTGCCCGGCTCGCAAACACGTGGAGCGTGCTCTGGACGATCCCGCCATGCTCATTGTCACCTACGAAGCTGATCATAATCACTCGCTCGAGGTTGCAGCCGCCGTCGTCCTCGAATCATCCTAGTGCTAGCCCTCTCATTTCCAACATCTGATCCATCAACCTTTCACGAGTTTTGCGCTCCCTGTACTTAATAGAACCTCTATGTTGTTTTCGGTTTTTTCCCTGCGCGAATCAGTGGCCTACCCTTTCCCCATACCATGTCTTTTCTTTTTTCATTCCTTTTCCTTTTGCACTAGTTTCTCCAGAATTACATTACTATAAACAGTACAGATGGGTTTAATACAGTCAAATACTCGCAGCTCCATCACCGTTTTGTTTTATTGCCATCACAATCCAAGGAGTGTAATATCGGATGCTTAGTTTCATTTCGAAGGATATGTTTTCCGTGCAAAAAAAAAAAAAAAACAGAGAGGAAAAGAAAAAGAGCCGGATTTTCAAAATAGAAAAAAGAAAAAAAGAGGAAATAAAGACAAAGCTGTCACCTTGTGTGGATTGGATGGAATAACCAAGGAAAAGGAAATGGAACAGGCAGAGGAAGCAGGAACAGAAATGGATTGAGGGGTGACAGTATTTTTGAAAGAGGGGCGTTAGGTACATGTTGGGTCATGTCGGCCAGATTTCCACGAGAAGAAAGAGTGAATGCATGAAGACAACAAATGTTGGGAATGGATTGGTTTGAACTTTGAAGAGTACGTTTCGTGGGCTGTACGTTAAAGAAAGGATGAAGGAGGAAGGAAGGGATGCGTTTTTGAGAATATATGTCAACAGCTGAAAGGAGTGGGGCTTGTTGACTTTTGAGGCCTGAATAACGACGCACGTAGAGGCAAGCATCCATCCATCCGCAATAGTCAAAAAGTACCGCTTTAAAGAGTTGAAACGTTGTTATGCTGCTTCCTTCCTTCACTCTAATTTGATTGATTTCTCGGCCCTGTCAATGATGTCCAATTGTCCATGTCGCATATTCATTACTGTGATCAATTTTCCAATGGTCCAACCAAATAATTTCCAATTTCGGGGGTGGAGCCAAAATTTGATTATGAGCACAGGAAGATTAAAAAAATATGCTACTCCTTTCAATCTTGAATATAACATTTAATTAAATTTATTGAAATTCTAAAAAGTTATTAAGTTAATTATTTCTTCTTCTTATTCATGTAATATAAAAACTGCGTTTCAGTTTTTTCCTAAAACAGTTCTTCCTTTTTTAATGACAGTGTCGGCCCGGCATTTGTCCGTACATTTATAAATATACCATTTTGTTTTAACAATATCTTTTAATTAAATAAAATAACTGCAATTTAATATCTTTTTTGAAAAAAAAAAAAAGGGAAGAAAGGGAAGCTTGGAAAAGCTATCTTGTCGAATCATGTCTTGATCCTTATTGATCCTGTTCCTGCGCTATCGATATCGTGGACTGCAGAATTTTAGGCAGGACATGGTGGCTATCAAATTAATAGCTTCCTAGAACGGTTTAGATATGGCTTTGAATGTGCCTCTATGTTTTTATGCCTGTTTGTTCGATCATCCCATTGCCTGGTTTTGATGTGCCTGTAAACTATTTAACGTCTTCTTGATGGCTTGGTGGCTTCCACAATCGCGTGATTTTAGGTCTCTTTTTCTACAAAACAGTAAAAACGAGGATAAGGATTAGGATTAGGATTGTACAAATATATTAAAAGAATATTTAATATGAATGAATATTTATTAATTGAGATTTGACAAATTCATATATGTAATGTAGGACTGGGGAATACCATAGAGAAATGTGATATTCCCTAATCCCATTTACATGAGATTGTTTAATCCCATATGACTCTGTTTTTATTGTAAGTCACTTGTATTCTAAATCCGCAAATCAAGAAATACATTAAATTAACCAATTTTTTTTTTTCACATTTACCCTTATTAAAAGTTGATAGAGGGAGAGATGGAAGGAGGGGATGGACTGCATAGGAAATGAAAAGTTGAAAGAGAGAGATGAAGAGGAAGAGAGAGAGGGACGTGTTTCGAGGAGTCATTATTTCATACTTTAATTAATTATTTTTTATTAAATTAATAGGAGTAAAATTGGAAAAAGATCATTAATTATACTACAAGTGACTTATATTTTGAAACAAACTTTTGGGGTGTGAGTGACCTATAATAAGGAATACAGTGGTATAATAAAAAATTACTTAGGCTAAATACTAATAATTTTTCTCAATTTCAATTCTAATTTTTATTCCTAATTTTTAATGTTTCGTATCAAATCAACCTTACTCTTTGGAATAACAAACTCGTTCTTGCAACTGCTAGCACTCAGAATTCAACCAAGAAAAATGATGTTTTCATCCGGTCTTGCTTTCTTACGTGCAGAGATCTCCCGTTGCCATTCATTTGAGTGAAAATGTGTCTTCACCGTCATGGCAGTGTTGCGAACTTTTGAAGGACCAGTTAGCAAACCAATCTTCCTCCAAACTTTGCACTTTAGTGGGCTGATGGAAGCTAGTTAATAAGGCCCAGTATGTTCTTTTGGATTATTCAGGAGATCCCAAAGCCATCTAAACTTGTGAAAATACAGAAACCTACGGCGGCTGAGAGATTCATTCAGAAGAGAACCGGAGAAACAAAAAGGAAGAGTGCAATGAACCCAAAAAAAGGAAAGAAGAGTTTATGACGCCAAGTGGGAAAAAAAAAAGCTCATCAAATCTGGCCATGAACCTAACCTAGTATCATGTTCCCTTTTAACGAACATTTGAAGGGGAAAAAATATTTGATTGATGTGAATGTGAGGTTTATTGAATATTTTTAGCACGCAAAACCATCTTTACATGTTTGCCTTTAGAGGTTTTTTTAAAAGATAATCGAAATTACCTAGTCCCCTGGCATAATTCATTGATTTGCCATTGTTTATTGTTATGTTTTTGTATCAAAGAGTAAAATCTTGTCATTGCTTTAAACTATGTGGACAGGTCCTAAATTCGCTCTCTTATTTTATGTGATTGATTTTCATGCCTTTTCAACCAATTTTTACCTCATTATTTTATAGTGTTTTTATTGACAGGTTGTCTATACTAATTTTGATTCTAAATATAAAAATTAGTTTATAATACAATTTACATTATAAACTAGTTCTTATATTTAAAATTAATGTCTAGTATATAATAAACTATGATGCAATACAACTAAAATGAAGTGATGATGAGAACAATAACTAATAAATGTGGAGACTACAAAATGTTTATGGCAAAATATTTTTATCCCATTTTCTCTTAGGGATAAAAAAATAATACTACTTTCTATCATTAATATAAGAGTTAGAAAACTAATTTATATATATTAAAAAAATTAACTAAGTTAGTTATTTGTAATATATGGATGATGTTTTTTCTAAAATACCTCTATCAATCATGTATGTTAAAATTTTCCTATCATAAAAACCTCTTAACAATTGCAATCATTGTAGGGATTATTTGTGGGCAAAAGAAATAAATACTTGAGACAAGGTAGATTATGTATTGTATTTAGGATTAAATTAAATCTCCAATTACTTTTTATATCAAGGACAGGAAGTAATACCATTATTACCTGGAGAAAAAGAAATGAAATATGGGAGGATCAGAACTCAAAAATATAGACTGTAAATCGTGTGTACGTGTGTGTTTTATTTCTTTTAAAATATCCGTTAATTGTTGGTATCTTAGTATTATAGATGATAAATGGAGACCTTATCTATTCCGGCTTGGAATTTAATATGTTGTACATTCGAGGTAACTTGAAAACAGATCAACACAAGTGCTAAGTGGTACATTTATCGCAGGGAAAGTGACATTTTTGTTGGATGTGGAAAATGAGATAATTCACTTGGATTAGTTGTAGCTTGTAGGTATGCTCTATACCCCTTTTAAAATGGGATGAGAGAAATAATTGTTCACCGACCCAAGGCACGATCAGTTCTCTGCCGTTCAATTTTAGTATTCTAGATACAGCTTTGTGATTGTTCTATTCTGTCTCTACCCATCTTCTTTCCTTATAAACACTGAAGGGTGAGAGGTTTTGGAAGTTATGCACACTTGTTTCTGCGACCTCTTGCCTTGGAAACTTTGAATTGAAAAGCAGATAAAGATGAACAGGGTTCCTCCCAAAATTCTAGTTTCAACTTTGTACCTCCTCTTATTGTCCTTTCCCGTCCAAACTCTACCGCATGTTGCTGACACGGGTACACTCAATTTCAACAGTGGCTACAACAGCCAAGGTGGTGAAGGTGAGATTTTCGGCAAAAGCTGCAACAATGAATTCCAATCAATACCTCTCTCTTCCCCATGTCAAAAATCAAAAACCACAAAAGCATCTCCAGTTTTTCCTCTCCAAACAGACGGTTTGGTTTTTGCAGATCAGAGACTTGAAGTTGTATACCCAGTGATCCAAAAATTCAAGTCCAGCATCACCTCTGATCCCCTAGGAGTCACCAAATCATGGGTAGGCTCTGATGTTTGCAGCTACAAAGGTTTCTACTGTGATAATCCCCCAGACAACGCCTCAGCCATTGCCGTGGCCTCCATTGATTTCAATGGGTTTCAACTTGGAGCTCCTACACTTGATGGCTTCATTGATCAGCTTCCTGATGTTGCACTCTTCCATGCAAATTCCAACAATTTTAGAGGCACCATCTCTACTAAAATCTCCAAGCTCCCTTATCTTTATGAGCTTGATGTAAGCAACAATCAGCTGTCTGGTCCATTTCCCATGGCTGTCTTGGGCATGAACACCCTAACATTCTTGGACATTCGTTTTAACTTGTTCTCTGGGCAAGTCCCTCCCCAGATATTCACCCAGAATCTCGATGTCCTCTTCATCAACAACAACGACTTTACTCAGAGATTGCCTGATAACTTAGGCAGCACTCATATTCTTTATCTCACCTTAGCCAACAACAAATTCATGGGTCCTATACCTAGAAGCCTCCCCAAAGCTTTGTCCACTCTCACCGAGGTATTATTCTTGAACAACCAGTTAACAGGCTGTATCCCATATGAGATTGGGCTTCTTGAAGAGGCTAGAGTGTTTGATGCTGGGAACAACCAGTTAACAGGTCCACTGCCCATGTCCTTGGGTTGCCTTGAGCAGTTGGAAATCCTCAATTTGGCTAATAATCTCCTCTATGGTATGGTACCAGAAGTGGTGTGTGGACTAGAGAATTTGATCAACTTATCACTTTCAGATAATTATTTCATGCATGTAGGACCTTTGTGTAGAACCTTAATTCAGCGAGGGGTTCTTGATATTAGGAACAACTGCATTCCTGATCTTCCATTGCAGAGATCAGTGTTTGAGTGTGCAGATTTCTTTGCGCGTCCCAGAATGTGTTCCCACATGTGGTTTCATAGTTTCATTCCTTGTAAGTTTTCTTTTCACCACAAGTCCTCGGTCTCTGCCATTCCTAAGATGGCTCCTTCTCCTTGACTTTTTCTTCTCTTGCTTCAACGTTAAGACATGGACTGCAACATTTTGTCATCTCTTTTTTCTTTTGTGTAGTGCGTAATCATGCCAAACATTGTACCGTCTTCCATTTTCCTTTTAATTATTTCTACTTTTCAAGCCTCAAATGAAATACTTGGAGGTTTTGTCATAATCGTGACCACTTTATCATAGTTTCCCCTCCATTTAATGAGTGTGGTACAGTCTAGATATTCCCATGAAAATTTACCAGAAAACAATATTATCATGATTGATTTGTGGGGCTCAAATGGGTGCTCCTGCAGCTCAATAGTACTGACGGATTCCATTGAATAGAACATTAGTATTATTATTATTATTGGATCCGCCGATTTCCAAACCACTCTCTAATATTGAAAAATATTATTATTAAAGAATAGGATTTATGTGAAAAGAGATTGGGCAACATTAATGATAAAAGAAGTCTCAAATCGACGAGAAGCGTATGGTCCCATTATGCTGTAAAATTGCAAACTTTCCTCATCTTTGACTTTTTTGGGGGAATGGTCCCTGCATGTGTGAAAAGTAACATTTAGCCATGAAAAGATGAAGATTACAATCGCAATATCTCATGCATATCAAGTGGGGCAAGACGCATTACGTTATTTGATAGTTCTTTCGAGCTTACCAACATGTTTTATTTTTATAAAACAACTACGTACGTAGTTGGTCCCATCCCATACTCCTGTCACTTGTTTTGCAAGTGACACTGATTATGGGTTGGGGGGGGGGTAGGGGCATGGGTTACAGCTCAAAAAGAGCCCCGCGATGCATGATTAATTATTATTTATAATTAAGGATGTCATGTTCATTAAAGAAGGAAAAATCCAAGTCACCAGGCACTGTTTGGTTTAAAATATCAAAGAAACTTGTGGTAGCCTTTCGGCTGTCTATGGAGTATTTTTATAGTTGAAAATGTTACAAAATTCGAATAGGGGATGGTGCCACTGTTAGAGTTGACAATAAACTTGATTTACATTTGCAGAATGGAAGCAATCGTTTTAAAAGGAATTAGATGTGGGGGCGACGTATTATTAGAGGCGTTCGAGATTTCTCTCTCAACTAAAGAAACCCTTGAATATACAGAGAGTGGGCTTATCAAAGTGGAATAAAAACCAGAGGCGTTGCAGTTATCTTGTCCATGGCCTACTTTCGATCTTGTCGCACCTGTGGTAGGTAATGAGCGGCCACGAGATCTTTGAAATAAAAACGGAAACTGAAACACATTGTGAAAAACCAAAAAAGAAAGAAAGAAAGGAACAAAGAAATCTTGGGGAGTCTTTTGGACTGATGTGTGGGGGAAAAAAAATCCAAAGGGGGAAGAAAAGCTAATGACTTGGGACGTGCTCTACAGTGATTTTTGTCTCTTTTGTCCTTGAATGAATTAACATATGGTGATCAACTTCAAAGTTATAGCTAGCTTTTATAGTTGCTGCCAACATACATATAGCCCAAGTCGTCTAACTCTTAAAAACCATATCTACGCCTGGAGGAATAGCATTATAGTGCTATGTTCACACCTCTTTTTGAAGTTCAGGAAAGTATCAGGTTTGCTCGTAAGTTTTTCAAACTTAAAACTTACGATCGAGGCAATCCATCCATAGACCCCCCCTCAAAAAAAAAAGAAAGAAAAAGAAACATCCATCCAGTTGGTAAAGCAAAAAAAAAAAAAAAAGAAAAAGAAAGAAACAGCTAAAGACAGGTCTTTCTGTTAAGGCGTACAAGGATTTGTTACATAAACACGCTCCAGTCAATCAACGAAGTTGCATAAGGTTGACTTTATACCCTAAAGTTGACACTAAAATGACAAGGCCACCCTAAAATTAAACTATTCCTCCAATCCTAAATATATGACCCTTATACTAGTGTGTATAAAGATCTTATCCTTAGAACCAGAAGAGTAACATATTGTAGGGCAACTCAGGAGACATGTAATGAAAATGGCTTTTCCTCTAAAGATCCTTTTGTTTTTGTTTTTTGGCTATACATAATGTCTTCTTATTTGAGGGAATCCTATTCGAGAAACTATTAGACACTAAATGCAAGCGCCTCTCCCAGCAGGAATCCAAACCTTGGTTTGCTACATTATAAAAAACTAGTCTCTTCTACTAAATCTAACTTGATAAAATTTTTTGTTTTTGGTCAGAATGAAAGTTCAACGAAGATGGCCAGTTAATTCAACAGAAATGAACCAGGCTATCTTGCCAGCCCAAGTTTCAAAGAACACAAGGCTTTTCCCCTCTAGAGGACGGTGTTTGATAAACGCGCGCAGATAAAATTGTCAATACGAATGGAGCCAAAAAAAAAAATAAAAAAGTCAATACGGGAAAAAAAAGTATTGGTGGAACTTCTTTCAATAGAATACATACATTCATATATATAACAACTATTCTTTACACACATGAAGCCCTTACAATTTGAAAAAACAGCTAGAAGAATTTCCTTCTGTTATGTAACGGAGAAACACTACAGTATACACACTATCAACAAAATCAATAATATAAGCTTGAAACACAATTAAGACAACAGAAAATTACAATTACAATAAGGCATTAAAAACCCTTAATAAACATTTCCAAGAATTGATGAATAATTTTTTCCCTTTCCTCTACTAGTGTTGTTATGAACAGAGTATTTTTCTCCTCCCAAAAGAAAAAAGGTCTAGCAAGCACCTGTCTCCTCCTCAGCCAATTATTAGGGTTACTGCTGGCAACATCGCAACAAACCTCACAAGATGCTCCACAAGCAGTAATTATGTGCAAGCTTCCAATATTCGGAAAGCGTTATCCAAGACTATAGGCATGTGCATGGTGAGCGGCCACTAATATTAGTATGTTACGCTGCAGCAAGAAAAGGCGGGTGTCCGTCAGATCAATGCTTCTTACCAGGACAAGAAAAGTGCCCGGATGGTTATCAACTTATCATTGAGCAAAGTATAATTCACTGGCTGAAAACTGAATAAAAATGTAAGGGTCTTTCCAGGGTCCTATACTAGGTTATTGGGTAAGAATTATAAATGCGCTTCTTTCACCTTATATTGCTTTATTCAAGATAAAATGAAACATTAATAGTCTAATAGTGAGGCCTTCAAGTACTATGAAAAAAATTCATAAAGATTGCTACCTGTACCTAATGTTGTGCTCTTTCCAAAGTCCTGTGTCTATGATCACTCTCAATGGTCCAAAAATGAAAACTAGGTGACAGTAGATCAGTGATCATAAATGATCATGGTTCATAGTGTACGTGGCAAAGCCTGTGGCCGCGGCCTTGCTCTCATAATAGTCTCGTCACTGTGGCGAATCCATTCTGAAAGCCTCCACGGCTTTTGCCACTTCCATTTGAATTGCACCAACCATTGGTGATGACTTCTTTTCCACCTCCATAACTTCCCCGAAGCTTGTCCTACAATGGCTAGTTTTTTCATTGATAGCTGCCTCATGGGTACCAACTGCATTGACAGCAAACGTCATATTCCTTGTACCGGTTAAAAAGGCATGTTCAAATTTAATGTACACAGAAGAAAAATTTTACCTTTCTACTCTGATCTATAAATGCAGCAGATTCCCCTGCTATGCCATTAACAACTCCTGGGGTATACTTGAGCTGTTTCGGTACTGGCACAGACGCTGGAGATAATGATCCATTCATATCTTCAACGTAGTGTTTCAATGAATTTGGCGAGTTTCCCTGTTGATATCAAATAATGGTGAGATAACCCCTAAAAATCCAAGACATGCGTTGATGAAACAACCATGAAATACAACGATAAGAGAATGCCAAAAAGTCAATGTTACAATGACCATAAATATTGTAACAGCTACACTGGCACTACAGGAGATAGTCATGACAAACAATCTCCACCAACTACTCGAACTTTCTCAGGAATCAAGTAATGTTTATAATGTCGAGTAATGGTGACCTAATTGCAATAAATTACTACTGAATACTTCAAACAAACATAGTATGCTTGATTGGAAACACCTTCAATGTCAAATTCATTTCTATTCAAGCTTTTATAATGTCACACTAACTTCATGCCAAGTTGAGAAGGATGAATATTGTAATATGAAGCCTTGAGAAATTAAACTTGACCAAGAAAAATGTGATCTTACTGAAGCTGGCGTAGCCAATGTGGTCGCCAAAGCTTGATCTCTCAATTTCAGCTCTTTCTCAACTTCCTTTCGCTTCATCTCACTCTGCCGTAATAGGCCTACAAGTTCTTTGATTTGATCTTTCATTTCCCTGATCTCCATGTCTCTCTCCCACAGTTGGCATCTGCCGAAAAATAGAAACTTGAATTTCAATATGTACCCATATACATCAAAAACCACTCAAGAGTAGATAACAAATGAGTGCATATCATAATTTGACATGAATAATATATTCCGCATCTATCAGTTAGCAGGCCTTTTTATTCCCACCCATTAAGCAGATGACTAAATAAGCTTATTCTATCTGTAAGACCGAAGATACACTGCAAACTTGTCCTTGTTGGGTCATCCCATTTGCATTGGTCATGGTAACAAAACCCATGTCAAAGGATGAATATTCAGATCTTCAGGGAAAACAGAAGGCCATTTAAAGCAATCAAGAATTTAAACTCTTTTTCGCTTATTACTGTGAATTCTTCCATCTTCAATCTAGTAAGAAACAATTTCAAGACCAAACAGGTGTCTTCCCCCTAAAACCTGTGATTATCAGAAGCAATATCAAAGAAGAAGCAAGATGAAGCCAGACGGAGATATCTGACTCAGAAAACCGTAAACAACCCATAGACGTTTGCATCTTGGAGTCATTTCCCTCTCTATCTCAACACATCTCAATTCATTATATTAAAAAGAAAAAAAGAAAGAAAGGGTCCCTTCTTCTAATACTGTGAATGATACGCGAAACTTCCTATTTAGGCATGATCAAATAAAATAAAATCTATTCACTGTTCCAGATATGCTGATGTCAAACATGCAACATTTGGACATTGGGACGAAGAATTTAATTAATGGTAAAAAAAGGCACCTAGCAT